CTTGTGAAAATTGTCTCATGTAAACGCCGTGTAAGAAACGTATCGTAATTTGTTTGAAGTCACGGTAGAAGTGAGGGTCACAATAGTGTTCGAACTGCATTTTTCGGTTATAATAGACACCGAAGAGGAACGTTTTTTTTAGAAAAATATAAAAATTAAAGCAAAAGTTGTAAAAAATTGTAATATTCTCCGTATGTAATGTATATTTTTCATTTTAATGGAATTTAGTACTTTAATTGGGCGAATTTTCGTATTTTATAAAGAACAGTTTTAAATAAGAATACAAGAAAAATAATAATAAATAATCTACGGGACGCCTCTTCCCCCCATATAAGAAAAAGTAAGAAAATTCTAGACCCGCCCTCCCCCACAAAGGTCTTACGTAATATATGGGCAGCCCCTAAGTAATACAAATTTTTATTTTGTTAATTTTAATCAGTATTTCTTTATGTATACGCAGTAATATACGCTCAAGATATGTACCATTCATTCCAGAGTATATAGGAATAGGGTTGCCACCTAAATTTTAGAATAAGTAATTTACTTAATAGAAGTATAAGCTCACCGGGCAAAACTCGGTCAACTTGGTACAATTGAATTATTCGTCATATTAATTTTCTTATTCAGTAAAACCATACTCTATTATTAACCGACTTCCAAAAAAGGAGGAGGTTATCAGTTCGTCGGAAAATTTTATTATTTTTTTTTGTTTTTAATGTATGTGACCGCATAACTTTGGACCACGTTACCCGATTTCAATAATTCTTTTTGCATCGGGAAGGTAGTGTCTCAGAGGTGGTCCCATACTAATCCGGTTTAGATCCGATCATTGGATCATGAGATATATATATATATATATATCTTTTTTTATATGAGAATTGAAGTCGGTTTTTTTGCTAAAAATTACTTGTAGTAGGTAGTCTTTGCTATGTGCATTGATGTTGCAAATAATTTTCTTACTGACGTAAATGAAATGAGCGAGCACCCTGAAAAATGGTTTAGTTCCAGTTTTTAACAGTGAAATAAAACATCGTAATTGATCAAAAAAATATATATTTGACGTCTTTCTCTCAACTTTACTTAATGTAGAAAACCTAAGAAATGTAATAAAATAAGATATATTTGGTGTATTCTTTTGCAACCGAGCTACAAAAGAACACTCGTTTACATGTCCATTTACATGCGAAACAACAACACAACTCGTGTAATATATACGAGTTAATTTCAACTCGTATAACGTCATACGACCTGGATCGGTGTGCTGCCAAGTTCAATTACTGCGCCATTGTGAATGATTCTGGAAGGAAATTGGAAGGCTTCCATTCAAATGTCAAAATATTTCGACGAAGATAGGAAAATAGAAAGACCAAAAATGGAGCAGCAGTAAGTCAAATTTTAAATGATTTATTTATTTCGGAAATATTGAAAACAATTTTGGTTTATTTTAAGGATGGAAAAAACTACAAGAAGGAGGTGGACACGGGAGGAATCTGAGGGTTTTTTGCAGTGGTACATGGCTCGCAAAGCCGAATTTGAGCAACCAAAGAAAAAGCGTCAGGCATACGCTAATACACTTGAGGATATGATATCCTTGGGTATTACGGTATGTAATTATTTTACGGATTATTAATTCTATAAAACACTTAATTATTGTATTTTCAGGATTTTGGGAGAACACCGCTGTGTTTGGAGGGGAGGATGTGCACTTTGCTACAAGCCTATAAGACAGCACGCGACAACAATAACCGCACAGGTTCTTCTCCGTTCTTCGCCCCGTACATGGAGCTAATGGAGGAGATATTTGGGAGCAGCCCTATTATATCTAACTCCCATACGCTGCAATTAGGAGATGGCCCTGTACAAATGATAGAGGAGAGTTCGCCTATACCTGCACCCTCACCTCCGCCCAACTCCACAACATCATCGCCGTTATCCCAGTCGCCACTCCCCTCAACATCATCGTCGCTGTCACAGTCGCCACTCCCCTTAATATCATCTCTTCCAATGTCTCCTACTCCTGCTGAAAGGAAACGTTCTGCGCGCGAACTTTATTATGAAGAAAAATTGAAGCTAAAGAAAAAAGCATTTGAAAAAAAAAAATTAAACAACGGGAAGAAAAGTTCGCAGCAACGCAGGAGCTGCTTCGGCAAAAATGGGAAAAGGACAGGGAAGTAGAATTGTTAAAGTGCAATTGTTGGAAAATATTATAAACAAAGTGTAATTGTTTTATTACTTTATCGTTTAAGAAGGACGATTCACAAAATGTATCGAATATAGTGTAACGGTGACTCCCAAATTCTGAACCTTAATTCCCATGAGTCGGCCGCTGTGGTGTAGTGGTAAGCAGTGCGCGCTTCCACTCCGCTGCGCCTGGGTTCAACCCCTGGTAAAAGCAACATCGAAAAAAAAATAAAAAATAGAAAATAGGTTTTTTCTTAACAGCGGTCGTCCCTCGGCAGGCAATGGCAAACAGCTTCTCATAAAAATACAATCGCCGTTCGGAGTCGGCGTTAAACTGTAGGTCCCTCCTCTTTGTGTGACAACATCAAGGCGCACGCCACAAATCGGAGGAGAAGCTCGGCCAAGCACTAACATATGTGTAAACGCCAATCTATTATTATTATAATTCCCATGAGTTCATTGTAAAGTGATAACAAAAATGAAGTTCGAAGTGGACAGCCCGAGTGACAGCCGAATATTAGCCATTACTATTTTTTTCACTATATTTTGAATGTAGAATGTTCTTTTCAATGAAGTGGTAAGAATAGTAATGGCTAATATTCGCCTGTCACTGGAATCTGGTCACTTCGAACTTCGTTTTTGTTACCAATGCATTCATGCGAATTATGGTCCAAAACTAAGTAGTCAACGTTACACTACATTCAAATATTTTTGTGAGTCGTGCTTCTTAAATAATTAAGTAATAAAACACTTACACATAGTAGAAAAGCTCTGCGTACATCATTTCCTTTTTAAATATTAACAATGTTTTGCACGCTAAAATTTGTTTGTAATTTTGTTATAAAAAATATGGATCATACTTAAAACAAATTCATATATTTAAACCAAAGTTTCAAGCTTTATACATTTTTAAGGAAAATTCAACGAATTTTCATCAAAATTGTGAACCTTTTAATCAGAATTAAATTTTAGTATTATAAAGTGCGGAAATTTAGTGGCTAAGAAACTGTGTACTTAATTTTTTTTTTTAATTCTGATTAAAAGGTTTAAAATTTTGATGAAAATTAGTTGAATTTTCCTAAAATTTGTATAAAGCTTGAAACCTTGGTTTAAATATATGATTTCGTTTTAAGTATGATCCATATTTTTTATAAAAAAAATAACAAACAAGTTTTACCGTGCAAAATATTGTGAATATTTAAAAAATAAATGATGTATCTACGCAGACTTTTTCTACATTTCTTGATTACATTTTCTAATTTTAATTTTAATTAATTTATTAATGCTAACGAGAATAGTCTTGATTTTATGGATAAAAAGTGATTTTAATTTTAACATTTATTTTTGTTTGGAAATAATTTTGATTTGATTTAAGTTTTTACAGTCTTAAGCTTACATGTTCTAATAAAAAAAATTTATATAAAAAATGAAATTTTAATTTTAACATTGGCTTTGTATTGAAACTACTTTCATTTTATTTAAGTTTTTATAGTCTTTAAGTTAAATTTTCTAAGTCTCGTAACTCACGCTTGAGTTTATGTAGGAAATGTTATTTTAATTTTAACATTTGTTTTTGTATTGAAACTACTTTAATTTTATTTAAGTTTTTAGTATTTAAGTTACATTTTCTAATAAGAATAACCTCGTAACTCGCGCTTGAATTTATGTAAAAAATGTGATTTTAATTTAAGCATTCGTTTTTGTTTTGAAACTACATTTATTGTATCTAAGTTGTTGGTCTTAGATTTACATTTTCTAATAAAAATACATAACTTCGTGAAATTTATTTTTGTCTTGAAATTACGTTAATTTTATTTCAGTTTTTATAGTTTTAAGGTTACAGTATATAATGTTCAAAATGAATTTAACAAGTGAAATAAATAAACAGATTACGCTTACTTGAAAATTAAAACGTCAATTATTTTTGAAATTGGAAAAGTTAACTACGGCATTCATTTGTTGTGAAAACGAAAAAAATAAACTTTCGTTTTTTAAAGAAAAAATTTGTAGTTTTCGTGGCAACATAGCACCATCCACCATTGTCACCGGAACAAAAAGCTTTGACTTTTATTAATTTCGGTAACAGTAAGCCGAAACAGCTGAAAATTAAAATTTCATAGTTTTTCTATTTTTGAATGTTAAAAATAATTGTTCGAATGGCAGAAATGGTTTTTTAAAATTCTCCAAGTGTTTAAGTGACTGATTATTGCGAATATGAATTACATTTAAATATATGAAGATGGGTTTGTGATGTTAGTCTTGAGCGGAAATACAAATCAAATAATTTTATTTACATATTGTGACACTTACATAAATAGTTAAAACAATTATATTATGTTTTGTCGTCTCAAGTGATTGAACAGAACTTCTCTTCTGTCAAGGGGCCCGTCCTGGTAGGGTTTGTCGATATTCTTCTCAAGTTGTTCAAAATTTACTTCATTGTTCTCACATAAATCATCCAAGGAGATGCAAATGTTATGTAATACATATATGCCGGCTACTATGTTCGTCACAGCTTTTAAATCAGTAAACTTAAGCAATCTCCGAAAGCGACCCTTTAATAACCCAAACGCATTCTCGACTACTATGCGCGTAAAAGAATGTAACTTATTAAATTTTCGTTGACTTTCCGTTAAGTTCCCATAATCTTTATAGAGGGATACAAGGCAATTGCTTGAAGGGTATGCTGAATCTCCGATGATGGAGGATGAGCTCGGAAACATTTCTGGCAAATTTTTTTTAGTTTCAATTTTATTTCAACATATTTTGATTAAAAGAAAAATACTGATAAGAATAAAAATTTTCATAAAAACAGGGTTGAAATCTTGAAATTCCTGCCCGTAGTTTGTTTCTAAGTCAAATATGAGTGGCATTGTGCTACTATGATAGTACGGCCGAGTAATCATAGCCAACTTATGTACAGTAGTCGAAAAAATTATATCCGCACCAAATTTTGATAAGTTTTAAAATATTATTTTTGTTGTTATTTAATTTCGGTTAGTTTTTTATAGTTCGTTCTTTACCAACATCCGTATAAATACAAGTTTAAAGGCAGTGTCACACGATTGGGTATTTGCTAAAATTTGGTGTAAATCGTATCCCAATTGTTTGAACACCCAAAATATTTTTCACTATCCCAATCACGAAAATTAATTTATTGAAATTTTTCAATAGAACATCGCTGTATTGTACCAATCTTTTGAATGCAAAAAAAATGTCCCACTTTTTTTTACCAATAGCCCAATATAAAAATTTACAAATCTGTACAAATGTACCAATCGAGTGACACTGCCTTAAAAATTTATGCAATTAAAAAAAAAAGTGTAAACATTTTCGTTAAAATTTTTTCATTAAATTCTGAGTATGCAGTTTTGTAGCCCATTGAATTCGAGTAGAATAAAGTACACGTTTCAAATGGCTAAAAATGTCGATTGATTTTTTAGAATTTTTTAAAGTTCGAAATTTGTACGAAAGTTTGTTGAATTTTGTTTTAATATTGCACAAATGAGTAGTCTTGCAAACAGGGTTATGTGATTTTATAATAGTGATCCATAAATTAAAAAAAAA